TGGCATTAAATAAGTTAGTTAAGATTAAATATAAAAATATTTTTTTTTTAAACAATAAAGTCTAATAATTGAGTGAAAATTAAAATACATTAAGATAAAAAAATATAATTAAAAAAGAAGGAAAAATATAAGGTTCTAAACTCAAATGAAACTAAAAAAATATTTTTCTTCTTAAAACAATAAAATCTAAAATTTAAATTCAAAAAACAAGCAGAATCTTTACATACAATAAAATTGTAACAGGCCGATGTCTGTACGCTATAGATATTAAAGAAAAATTTATATGGGGGTATTTATTTGAGCAATAGAAGCCAAATCAACAATTTTTAGAATTTTTGTCTGTCTGTATGTTTTTACGCGCATCACTCGAAAACTAATGCATGAAATTGAATCCAGTTTTCACCGAGAGGTCTAACTTAAAATATAGAAAGAAAAAAAAATAAGAGAGTTGCCACCTGTTTGAAAATTGCAGTTTTAGTAAATTCTTTAGATAAAAGAAATATTGCAATATGGTTGTCAAAAGAAGAGGTTTAAGCAGGCTTTTAGCTGAAAATATTTTTGTGGAGGTTGCCACATGTTTGAAAATTTTAATCTAATTTAATTGATAAGATAAATTAAATATTGCAATATGGGTATCAAACTGAAGAGGTTTAGGAAAGCTTACTTACGAAAATATTTTTAGGAGGGTTGCCATCTGTTTGAAAATTTGTATTTAATTAAATCGATAAAATAAACGAAATATTACAATACGGGTATCAAACAACACAAAGGCGCAGTGAAGCTCGCCGGATATTTGCTAGTTAAAAATAAAATAAGTTACCAAAAATGTAATGTAATAAAAATATGTATATTTTTCTTTGCAAAGCAATAAAATCTAAAAATTAACAACAAAAAAAATTTCGCCGCCTGAACCTCGCGTCTCTCGAACGACATGCCAGTGGTTTATTCACTCGGCCATTGCGACCATGAAATTTGGTAAAGCAACTTTTTTTTCTAAGGTTTTCGCGCCAGAATAAAACAAAAGTCTTTCAACTATCTTAGCCAGAATTACCTTGCAAAATTACAACGCATGTTCGCCCTTTAACGGCTGAAAGAAAAAAACAATTAAAAACGCACAACATAATGACTGTGCAATTTAACTGACTTCAGTGACTGAGTGACACATGTGGGCCCTCTTATCATAGAATTTGTAATCAGAAATTCGACTGAATTAGTGATTATGTCATTTATTTCAAATCAATCAAAATTTATGGTTTGATTTTGTACACTCCCTATTTGCAATAATCTTGCAACAAAAAATAAGCTTCATTGTAGTTTTTTCAGATACATGGTTATATCTTGGAATTTACATGGCAACTCTAGCATAACAAGCGTGGTAATATGTGAACTTTTGTCTCCTCACTGCCGAAAGTACGTACATTTCGGCGTGGTTTTGGCAAAAAGAAAAAATTCCTTAATAAATTTTCAATAACAATCAGCAGAGATCATGACACTGTGACTATGTATTCAAATCTTATAGGCAGGCTTTGCTTGTCATTTGATCCTAAAATTAAGTAAAATGCATTTTTTTTTCATTGCTGCTGATACTAATTCAACAATATTTAACTATTATCCTCGTTTGCGATGTTGGATTTCGGTTGTTGTTGTTGTTGGCGCAACACTACAAACCCCTGAATAAATCCGCTAACTAAATCAAGCTCAGCTAACCAACGGCAGCCCTATGAAACGTGACACGTATTTTGACAGAGTCGGACCAAAGTGAGAGGGGTATTAGCTGAGTGTGAATGGGGGCACGTGAAGAGGTGGTTGGTGTCGTGCGGGCTACGGTCACAAGCCGGACATATGTTTGGTAAGACGCGGTCGAGTCTGCAGAAGAACAAGTTCAGTCGACTGCAGTATTCACACCATAATTAAGCCATAGCTAAGCGGGTCTCTCGAGGCAGCTGAATCTCTTCGTCTGCGATGGATGGTGGTTGAACTCCAATGACGCTCGATTAATGTTGTTTATGGCTCACTCATCGGTACAACGATAGGTCCAATGGTTGTGCGACAGCCGGTTCTAAGTACTGGAATGACTCGGGTTTTACCCAGTCAAGGGTTGTTTGTTTTGATAATATAAAGCTGTTTAGATCGACGTACTCTACCAACCGTGGGTTTTCAGTCATAAGATCAACTGTACGTGTGTCACAAAAATGCATCGAAACCCTCTTTGGATGGATATTGAGCGTTTCTCGCATGACCCTGTATATCTTTTTTTGTTAATTTATGCTCGATTTTAGTTTTCTATTATTGTTTGTTTTGTAATTTAAACTTGCAGTATATCTTATCTTATTACGTTGGTCATAAAAAAAAAAACACTTGAATTTTCGTCATTGCTTTTTGTTAGTTATTTAGTGTTCGTGTTACTTTGATGAGTCATAAGAGCTTCATATATGTACAGGAATTTATTTTCAAATTATTAACGTTTTAGTATTCTATGAGTGATATTTACTTAGTTGATTCAAATAAAGGCAAAACTCGAGAAAATAAAAAAGTAAAGATATTAAATCATTACTTTACAGAAAAAGCTATATAGGGCAAATTTTTAATAACTTTTCATATTTTGCTTAAATCTATCCTATATCGAGTTCTATTGGAACTTTATTAACGGCAATCACTTTTTAAGGCGTTAAAACTGAAAAAACCTCAAGCGCAAAACCCTTTTTTTGGAATCTGACGCGCACACAGCCCATAAATACGAGGAAGTATTACCTACCGTCATAAGTCCACGAAATTGATAACCACAAATACATGCATACATACGAGGGGAGACTGAAAAGTTTTGAGCCTAAGTATAGTTACCGTTAAGTGTCATTAATGTCTTGTCCTGCGTGTCACTAATTGCTAATATCCTTAGGCCCAATTTCAGATGGCCTATTTAAATCATTTTCAGATCATACATTTGATCTGTACTTAAATAGCCAATATTGGCTGTGTTTGTACCAAACAACCAAGACTGATAGATAGGATGTTTTATCAATTTTGCCGAAAAACAATCAGCTGTTCAGTACAAAATATAAAAAAGCAAACAAATGCAACAACAATTTCAAGGAGCAATCAACAGTATTGCGACTTGTTTGGCATATTTGAATAAAGTTTATCTCAAACTTAACGAAAGTTGAATGGCGTTTAAATAACAATACAAAATTAAACTTAATGCATTTTAAATATTGGCCCTTAGTCGTATAAAATCCGATTTTCATTGTACGAAATTAGAGTGCAGAGCTACCATCAAATTCCTCACAAAGAAGAACAAAACGCCGACGGAACTATTAGAGCAGAAGTCTACAGTGTATGTGGAGTCTGGCTCTTCATTTGCCACCATCAAACATTGGAGCCGAGAATAATTCAATCATGGCAGAACGTGGCTGGAAGATGATCCCAGGTCAGCGCGTCCAAACGCTGCCTAACGGCTTACCATTTTTATTTAGATTATTAAGGTATTCTCTTAATCGACTATCCACCTAAAAAAAACTATAATGAACGGAGACTATTATGCGAATGACAAAAGTGCGTCAAGTGGTTATCGAGAAACGGAGATCCCAAAGGAGGACTCCGCAAGACAATGCGACCGTACAAACTGCGCGAGTTGCAAGGCGTGCCCTGGTCAAGACTGGATTTAAAAAAGTCAACCACCCACCCACCATACAGTCCAGACCTGGTCCACAGCGATTACTTCCTGTTCTCTAATTTGATGAACAACCTCCAAGAACGAAGATTTTCGAGTGAAGTAGACGAGCAATTCGAAAACTAAGACACTGAGGCTGTTCACACTTGCCTGGTTATCTGGTTAAAAATTATTATTGTGCAGGGTATTTTATTGTTGTAAGCTGAATAAAAAATATAACCACATAACCTCATACCCTGACAATCAGGCAATCGTGAACAACCTCACTGAATATTTTCATTGTGTAAAGGGCTCCTTTATGATTAAAGAAAAAAAAATGTTTATACATTCCTATCAGCTGTTCTAATACCTTAAGCTAAAAACTTGTCAGTCTCAACTCGTATAGACATATTTGCGAAACGCAAAAAAAAAACTTCCCCGTTTTCGAAAAATTTTTCGGTGATAAATATAAAGTCACATACATACATATAAAACAAATAAGTCAACGAACGCAAGCATACAGTTATTAGACTTTTTCTAAAAAAAAATTGTAACAGCGATTTTTTGATGCAGTTTACTTCTGTTTGACACGTAGGTCATGGATCCACAGTCTTGCTCCTAAATTTCATATGGCAACACTCCGCCAATTTGGATTTTAGGTTTTTTGAGTTTTTTTGCAATTTGAAAGCTTATTTTTCATTTTCGTAAAAAATGGTTAAGTACCAATTTGTAGAGAATTTAATTTTCCACATTTCTTATATAGTAGAAGGTTGAAAAAAAAACACTTTTTTTTGTAGATAATTAGCAAAAACTGCGAAAAAATTTAGAGTACATTTTGGAAGCAACCAAGTCCAACTGGGTATTTGTATCCATATGCATGTGCTAATAGTGCATACATATGTACACACGTATTCATAATCGAAAAGCCTTATCAACAAGTTCTAAGCTTAATTATTATTTTTTTTTACAATTTGTCGGCCTACTGATAAGTCTTGCCGGCGCCAGATCAGAAATCATAACATAAATTGATCTTCAAATGCTAATTCTTAAACAAAATTGTAATTTTATTAGAAAACCTAATTAAACTAAAATTACAAATACAAAATTTATTTTCCTCATTTCTATTACATATGTACATATGTACGTACGTACAAAAATACAATTCAAACTAATTTCTTGCCAGTTGACCGTTAACATCACGTTCACACGAAATTAACGCAGATTCCAAGTATTACAGAGACTAGCGTAACTTATTTCGCCGCCACTTCCTTGTAAACATTTCCCGTTAAATGGGAAAACTTTATAGGAATTTCACGTATGTACTAAACTTTCCCACTTTCTCATTGTTTCGCAGAAAATGGCGCTCAGTCCCGAATCGCCTTCTTATGCGGGCTGGAAAGTTTCACCGCTGCCACTCTACTTCGATGTATACCTCTTCAATTGGACAAATCCGGAAGATTTCTATGTGGGCTCTGGCAGGAAGCCACGATTCGAGGAACTGGGACCATATCGTTTTCGAGAAAAACCAGATAAAGTGGATATTCAGTGGCATAAAAGCAATAGTTCTTTGTCATTTCGCAAATATGCGGCATTTTATTTTGATGAAGCCCACAGTAATGGCAAACTATCGGATCGGGTAACATCGGTCAATACAGTGGCGCATGTAAGCATAGATTACTTAAATTATTCAAGCAACAAATTTGAGTAAGAACCAAAATAATTTATGTTTTCTTCTTTTTTTTAGGGTGCTGCCTTGAAAGCCGTTAATGGCTCATATATCCAAAAGCGTATATTAACAAATGTTTTAAAAATGTACAAGGAAGGTTTAACGGTTACCAAAACCGCTGACGAGTGGATGTTTACGGGCTATCGTGATCCGCTAGTAACAATGGGCAGTTTTGCATCGAAATTCGTCAAAGATATTGTGGTGCCATTCGATCGTATCGGCTGGCTGTACATGGTAAGTGTTTTCAATTGTTGACTGTTTATAGGAGAAAGACTGATAAATGAACTAATAAGCATTAGTAGTACGATTATTACTTAGTTACTAGCAATGTTGGGCACACTTGAGCATATTCTCAATATTTGCAGATGTCTACATACTCAGTTAAAAGAAACATAGGTATTTAGGAGTTGATAGATATAAAAGTAAAAAAATAAAAATAAATTACAGTAATTAGCAGACGCCAAACCTACCTAAGCTCAACTCACCTCATCTTTACTCATTTTAACAGCCCATCTCAATTCACTTCAACTCAACTAACTTCAATTCACCTCAGCTCAATTCACCCCACCCTCAACTCACCTCATCTCACCTCATCTCAACTCACCTTAACTCACCTCACCTCACTTCAACTCACCTTAACTCACCTCACTTCAACTCACCTCATTCCAACTTACCTTATCTTATCTCTGCTCAACGAAGCAAACAGATAAATTAACTTGAAAATATGGAAGTAGTCCCGTCAATCTCGGAATAATTCTGAAAATCCCGAAGTAGCCTTGAAAAGCCCGTTATGCTTCCGTGAATCGCGAAAATCTTAAAAATCGCGAAGTAGCCTCGAAAATACCGAAAATATCGTAATATTCCCGAAAATTGAAGAAATAAGAAAAATCCCGGCGTAGTCTCAAAGAGCACAAAATATCGCCGAAAATCCTGAATTAGCTCGAAAGTTCCGAAATAGGTCCGGAAATCCCGAAAGTCTTTAAAATCCCGAAATAATCCCGACCATCTCGAAAAAATCCCGAAAAACCCGAGGTATGTAGTCTCAAAAATCCCGAATCCATGAAATCCCGAAGTAGTCTCTAATATCACGAAAACGTTACTATAATTCCGAAAAGTAGTCTCTAAAATTCCGAATAGTCTCTAAATACCTGTGTCCAATTTTTCTTGCAGCGCAACGATAGCTCCGTTTATGATGGCCACTTTAATATCTATACCGGCGCTGATGATCTACGCAAAATGGGTCAAATTTACGAATGGAATCATAAAACACACAATGGCGTCTATGAGGGTGAATGTGGGCGCATTAGAGGTTCGATGGGTGAATTTTTCCCACCAAATCTTACTCCAAAAGACACAGTCGAAATGTATTTGCAAAACTTGTGCCGCACAATGCCATTGGACTATGTCGAAACAGTGAAAATTCATGGAATCACAGCTTATAAATATGCTGCCACCGAAAGGGCGCTTGACAATGGTAAGTTAAATAAGCATTTGAAAGATAATTCAGCGATTAGGCAACAAGTGATCTGTGTTATGCAAGTAAAGCGCCGCTTACCTAGTGTCGCGAGTGATGTCGCTCCTTTTTGATATCCACTATCTTTAATATATTTACATATGAATGTTGTATTATATTCAAGCATTTCTATTTTAATAACCTTCTTGTATACATTCTACACACTTTTGAATTGAGCACTTTTTCACTTACACCGCGCTTACGAAAACGAAAACTAAAGTGTCACAAACAGCTGATTTGCTTAGCTGGTTCACATTAGTGAATTTCCAAACCATTGTGTTCTGTAGCTCGTTTCTGTAACAATTCTCTACCAAGGCGAATTGAGATATGAATTCGCCGCCCTGTTCTCTACTGCTAATTAGTAGGTGAGAGTGACGTATTTTCTCTACCAGTAGAGAAATAATCGGTAGAGAAAAGTTGCAGAAACGGGCTACTGGGATAATAAAACCCTGTTTGGAAATTAATAGGCACTGCCAACTGGAAAATATTTCATAGTGAACTAGAAAATTCTAATCAAAATTTGTATAGCTGTTGTTGTTGTAATACCAATAATGAAAAAGTTCTTAGAAATAGGGAGGTGGGGTTAAAACTTCTGAGCACTGTTTGATGCTGCTGAGAAGAGGAGGAAAGGCAATGAAGGCTTTTGACTCGTATGTCATTCCATGCTACTAGAAGACATCGATATCTCCCCTCTCATCGATCATTTTCATATAATAATAATAATAGATTGGCGCTTACACATATGTTAGTTAGTGTTTGGCCGAGCTTCTCCTCCGACTTGTGGGGTGCGTCCTTGATGTTGTTACACAAGGCGGAGGGACCTACAGTTTTACGCCGATTCCGAACGGCAGAAATTCACTCGGAGGTTTGCCATTGCCTGCCGAGGGACGACCGCTGTTAAGAAAAAACCTTTTTCTATATTTTTTGTGATGTTGCTTTGACCAGGACTTGAACCCAGGTGCTGAGGAGTGAAAGCGCGCACTGCTTACCACTACACCACAGCGGCCGACATTATTGTCATATATAAACGTTAAAACCAAGGAAAACTAAACATTTTATACATTTCAAAACTCCCTCAACCAGCAGAGGGAGTCTTCATCATATCGTACGCTGACGACTGCCCGATATTGGCATCCCGCAATGGAATTGATGACCTGTGCTCAAAACTAAACGCTTACCTTTCCTAACTTTCCTGCATCTGCGCTGCAAGGAGCCTAACCCTCTCTCCTACGAAATCCACAGCAACCATTTTACAACCTGGACGAAAGAGGGCAGACTACCGATGGCTATTCACGTCGACGGTGAGCCGATTCCGAAACTGAACAACCAAAAAATTCCTCGGAGTAACCAGGTCTTTTTTCGGCGCACACAACCGCAAGTGTCAATAGAGTATAAAACCGCAACAAAGTCCTCAAATCGCTCGCCGGCAGCACTTGGGGCAAATATAAATAAATGTTATCGACAACATTCAAGGCAAATAGATGGCAGGTTCTAAACTATGCTGCGCCTGTTTGGTCACCGGGGACAAGTAGGAGCCGTGGATAGCCATAATACAGTACTCCTCACAGCCACGGGATGCATTCTAAAATCACCAGAAATCCATTTACATAGTGAGGCCAAAACGCTCCTGCTTAGCAAGCAGTTCTAAGTAGAGTGACGTGAGCACCCGAATAGGCACTTGCTCGAGGCAGAATGGAGAAACTTCTAAAGTTCGATCGCCGTAAGCTCTTATTCATGTGTGACTGCCGGTTAGTAATACGCAGTGGATGAGGATTCAAACAACTCAGAACGGCACGTTTACAACTGACACCCCTCCAGCCAATTTTTTGATGCCTAGACACATCCAGAACTATATCATATACATATCTACACGACTAACACTGAATAAGGCCGACTTCAAATAGGCCTTGAACATCATAAGTTTCTGTCGGTGAGTACCTGCCTATCGGGCTGACCCGGAAGCACAACGGATCAAAACTATGCGTCCCGAAATTAAAGCATTTCTGTACCAATCAGCAGTGTGAGGCGGGCACACTAACCACCTTGGTTGGACATGAAACCTATCTATAGCCTCTGCCGTACTGTGGGCCCGGCGTCTGGTTGCGGTCTAACTTCACCTCGTGAAGACATAACACAACTCTACCCGCGTTTGCATACTAAAACACAGCTACCACGATACTCCTCGAAGAAGCCTACCGCAATGAGCTCCCCATGGTACCAGAACTAAGTCCCTGGTCAGACTTCGTATCCGAGACAACTACCAGTTAAGCTTCCACTCAGCTCTCGGACTGACGGTCGATGACTAGGGTCGTCGGGCTTGTAAGGCCGTCATTCTACTTATGCGGAATGCTCTTGCGTGGTTACATATATATGCACATCGAAAGTCAATCAATACATTCATCAACTCTCGCCCCATGAATGCCGTCATTGTAGACCAGCCATCATCTGTCCTACACTTGGAGCTCGAGTTGCCTGGTGAAACGTTACTCGATGTCCAAAATATGAAGGTGTCCCGCACTACACTAACCATCCCTTTGCATACACACGAAAACCTACTCATCTGCAAACTCCGACCCCCACCACTTTAGACCAACCTTATCAAAGAGCCAGTACATTTCCTGGGCCTAGCATTCAATGAGATTGACAACAACAATTAATGAATGTATATCTTGACCCAGAAATCCTAGTATTAATTAGAGTTTTAACTCACAGTCTTTATAGTTTAATCGTAGTCTATACTCCTGGTATCACATAATCTTAACCTTCTCACATTTTTGTTTACAGGTACACTTTATCCGGAAATGAAATGTTTTTGCGTGAACGGTGTGTGTGAGAAATCGGGCGTTATAAATTTAGGGCCCTGCCAATATAATTCACCGACTTACACATCCTATCCACACTTTTACAAGGCTGATCCTAGTTATCTGGAAGCGGTTGAAGGTCTCTCGCCCGATCCAGCAAAGCATGAGTTCTTCATGACACTCGAGCCAAATGGTGGCGTGCCCGTGGATGTTGGCGGTGGCTTTCAGGCAAACTATCTAATGTCACCCGTGCCAGGCATGCCGTAAGTTGAATGTTGAAAGCAGTTCGACAAAGTTCGATATTAATTGTCTGCCTTTTTTTTCTTTACAGTCCCTTCGATAACATTCCACGCACGTTTATACCGCTTATGTGGGCTGAGGAACGCGTGCGCGTCACACCAGAAATTGCCAGCCAAATCGCTTTGGTGCCACTCATCGTTACACTGGGTCAGGTGGCGACTGGCATTATGTTTGCCATTGGGGTTTTGCTCATCTGTTGGTATCCAACAAAATATATATCACATGTTTGTCGTGATCCGAAGAGTAAAAACGCTCTACTCAATCCGATTGTGAACACAACAGTGCGTTCGATTGCGTTAACGCCTTTGCATAAGCCACAAAAGGAGGTCGTTAGGTTGCTGGACAACAGTCAATTAAGCTCCGAAGCTGTACGAATCGAAGGTATGTTGGAGGCAAGCGAAAGTTTACTACGGCCGTCACCACCACCACCACCACCCTCATCGCTTCATGTGATAAGTAGATAGTATGCTCATCAGGGCAATGAATAAAGTGCTCAGCGCGAGAGAGCGCCTGCCATTGTTTAGTGTTAATATGCAATTAAATTGAAAAACAAAAAACGAACAGAATTAAATTTAACTGTGCTAAACTGTAAATAATGAAAAACACAAGCAGCCTCATAGACAGTAGAATCCAAAAAAAAAAATCACCAACGTGCATACTTAATTCTCTTAGGTAGTATGGTATCTAATATTGCTAAAAATAAGTCCATGTAAAATAGTAATTGTACTAGATGCTTGTAATGGTTAATTTATAAAATAATAATTTTTATATTCAAAACCGGTTCATGAACATTTGCGTACGCACTGTAGCTCTGAGATAGAAACGAAATGATGCAACAAATTTACAAAGAAATCCAGTGTCAAATGACAATCTAGTGTATAAAAAATGAAATGTATATGCAAATATGCATACATATGTACATTAGGGTGCACCACAAAAAAAAAATTGCGGTTTTTCCACCGGAATTATAAAACGTTTTATATTTTAAGACTGCCGCCAAAATATATTTCGGAAATATGTATATCAAGATTTAAGTGAGCTAGACCGATTTGAAAATAACTCCAAAAATTTAATTATGTAATTTGATTCCGTTGAAACAAATTTTTATAAATACATATTTACGCAGACATTTTAAGCTAAAGTCTTCTATCATTTAGGTGATTTTTTAGAAAACGTATCTTTGAAAACTAATTTTATTGATAAAAGGCTCGATTTTTAGAGGTATTTTCAATTAGGTCCAGCTCACGTAAATCTTAATAGTTTTCCGAAATTGTTTGGCGAAAGCTTTAAAATATAATAATTTTTATATTTCTGATAGAAAAACAGAACCTGTTTTTTATGGAAAACGATGCAGCCTAATGTACATACATAATTATGTAAACATTATTGCATTCTAAATTATTGATATCTTTCCTTAATCGTAAAAGTCTGCTCAATCATTTGTTATCAATATTATTTCTATGAAAAATTTGTTATTAAATAAAAAATAAAATTCATTGGCTTGGCATGTGACATTAGCTCATCGACATATCTACTTTACTCCTCATTTTCCATAACCTTACTACCATCACATATGTATACATATATAAACATACATAGTTACTTCCCACTGTAGTTTTTAAGTCTAAGAAAACAACAAAAAGTATTTTGAATTCAAAATTTATTATTATTAAATATTCCCTGAAATTTGGAAACTAAATTAAATTATTGAAGAAGATTATTAGTTTTTAAGTTCATAAATTGCTGATCTGTTTTTTATTTTAATATTTTCTTATGCTGATTTAAATTTTTTTTATACATTAAGCAAGAAAAGTGAAGAGACAGAACAGCAAAAAGTGATAAGCGAGAAAGCTTCCTGAATAAGAAACCAAAAGAAATTTTAATATGAAACAAGAAAAGATTATTACATAAATAAACTGTAATAAAGAATGAAAATGTGTTTTTAATTTTTTTCAAAAGTAATTACCTCTTAAAAAATTTTGTATCTTATAGCTACAAGGAGGTTTTCTGTACCTGTTGATGTAGGCGCTTGTAATCAAGAGATCTAACTCAACAAAAGAAAGAGGACGCTTATAGGGCAATACTGGCTAAGGTCCGGGGCCGTAGCAGTTACAACTTTTACTAAAACAATCGCTCCTTAACAATTGTTTTTTGAATTGTATTTAATTACTCCTTAAATAAACGTTATTTCTGAATTTTATTTGATAAATCCAAAATAACAATTATTTTTGATATTTATCTTAATAATCTGCAAATAACAGTTATTTTTGATTTGTAAATTAAATGTCTTAGGTAGCAATTATCGAAAACTTTTATTTATAAAAGTCATAAATAAAAATCAGTGACTGACCTTAATTTTTTAAATCATTAAATCAACACTTTTTATCTGCGAAAAATTTTAATGACTTTTATACGAATGATTTAAAAAACAAAATTCGGTGACTGATTTATATTGATGACTTTTAAAAGTAAAAGTCAATCAAGTTCAATAGCAGTTATCTAAGACATATAATATAAAAATCAAAAATATATTTTTTTTTAATTTTCCATAAAAGTTGCATATAAAAATTTATTTTCAAATTTTAGTCTCGGTGAATAAAGAAATCGATTGATAGTTGTGGAACATTTCCTCCATAGCGAATTTTCCCATGACAGTTTTCATCAATAACTGTTATGTTCGGTCCTGGCTGAGGTAGTTTAAAGTCTTCTGTAAGACAATTAAAAAATAGTAGGCAAGATAGTTAGAGAGATTTTCAGGGAAATTTTGGCAACTGTTTTTCAACTCACCACAGCCAACTCACCACTACTTTGAACGATCTTTTCTGTCTTTCGAAGGACTAATTGAAAGATCAGCTAACGAGAAGGTCTTAAGGCGGACTCACCGTTCGTGTCCGGACAACTTTTTATTTGTTCTCAAAACTTTTTTGTCGGAGTATGGTTCACCGTTTAGTTCGGCACATTTGGTTTGGTTCTGAAGCGAAGAGCTGTTGATATTGTTGCCTACATAAGAAACTATGGTTCTGAGCGGGAATTATACTTGAAATTCGGAGCTAAACACATATAAAAGAGAAAACCGCAACCATAATCATCAAGTCATTCGGAAAGAAAATCAATATCAATTTTATTCCACCAGAGAATGTTCAGAACATTTTTGTCGCGCTCTCAGTGGGACAGAGTGGGAAAAGAACGTGCAAAAATCACCAACCAAAAGTGTCCGGACACGAACGGTGAGTCCGCCTTAGGAAATGAAAAAATATATTTTTTTTTCTTTGTAAAACAATAAAAAATAAAAGAAATTTAAATAAAAAATATATATATTTAAAAAAATAAAAAATAATAAACTAAATTTCTAAAAATTTGATTGAACTGAAAAAATATGTTTCCTCTTAAAACAATAAAAACTATAAACTAAAATAAAATTAAATAAAAAAATACAAAAGTAATAATTACAAAAAGCTGAAAAAATATGTTTCTAGAATTTACGAAAATATTTTCCTTTTTAAAACAATATGAGCTAATCATTAAATTTAAAAACATAAGAAAATAAGTTTCTAAATACTAAATGAAATTAAAAAAAATATGTTTCTTTTTAAACCAAATGATCGGAAAATTATAAGAAAATTTTATTAAAAAAAGAAAGAATAAAAATTAAATAAAATTAAAAATATATTTTTTTAAACAATAAAATATAACACTTAAACGAAATTTAAATTTAAAAACAAAGACAAAAAATTTCCCTTGCCCGAGGACTCGACTTCGGATCTCCCGAACGGAATACCGATGCTTCGCTCAATGAAATTAAAAAAATATGTTTCTTTTTAAACCAAAAAATTAAAAGAAAATTAAATTGAAAAAAGAGAGAAAATAAGTTTCTAAAAATTAAATTAAATCAAAACAAAAAAAGTTGTATTTTCCAAACAATAAAATCTAAAAATTAAACCAAATTTAAATTTAAAAACATAGACAAATTTCCCTACCCGAGAACTCGACCTCGGACTTCTCGAACGGAACACTGATGCTTTGCTAACTTCGCCAATGTGACTGTTAAAACATCGCGAGCAAAACTATATACAAGTGCTTTATGTTAAAAGAGCTTTTCACCATGAAAGTTGGCAAGAGAGCTTTTTATTTATAACCCTTTCGCGTAATCTTTCAAACTATCTTGCCTACTGTCTTTAAATTGTCTTACAAAAGGCTTTCAACCGACATAGCCAGAATTTCCCTGTTTGTTTATTCTGGCACGAAAGTCTTACAAAAAAACTCCCTGCCAAATTTCGTGGTGAAAACTCTTTTTTACAGAAACACTTGTATATCAGTTTGCACGCAACTGCTCAAACAGACGCAATGACCAAGTGAGCAAAGCACTGTCGTGCCATTCTGGCAGCGGAATTTATTTTTTTAATTTTCTTTTTTTGGATTGTATTGTTCTAAAACGAACTACATATAAATTGTTATAAATTTTTTAATTGCATTTAATTTTTAGAAACTATTTATTTTATTTTATTTTTTTCTTTGTTAATCTAATTTTTAGAGAAATTTTTAAAAAGAAAAAATATACATATTTTTTTATTTCAATTAATTTTTTAACTATGGCATCTTTTATAAATAGTTATTTAATTTCACAAACGACCAACGTATGCTTGGTTCCTACTGGTTCTGATATTGCGATCGGTACCCAAGCTGTGTCCATGGGCGTTATGATAGATCTCGGAGTTCAAAAAGCTTTCCCCAGACGAGCTCCAGGATAGACTTTAACTATTTTATCGGTCGCGACCCCAAACCGCTATACGGATCTACCATCGTCACAGGCAACTTACCTCTTACCACCAACCAACCAACGTTTGTTCATATGGGAGCGGATCAGATAGAGATAATTTCGAATTAATGAGTTGATCCGAATCAACGCGGCCGTCTGTCTATGCTTTTAGCGGCTGTCACCTTTCCATACGTTTCTAGGTATGTCGAAATCCAGAATTATTGACTCCGCTCATAGAATGTCCTCCTTATCCTCCCTGATTGATGAACCAACGAAGGTCCTTTGAGTGATACGCTTCAAAGTTTCGATTTTAAAATAAGAATTTCAATTATAAATAATTATTACACATTTAATGATCGAAACAGATTTTTACTAAATTCGCTACAATTCGTTAATATCAAAATCTAGATACTTTAGTTGCGATCCCGTACGAGTCCGGACTAGTCAGAATCAGTCAGAATTTACTGGAAATCGATCCCGTACTCAGTTCTCTGACTATTGAAAGGACAAAAAAAGAGAGTAAATACGGTCCTCTCTCTGTCAGAAGTTACCAGTTTTAGTCCGAGAATTTTTTGCTGGTAAATTCTGGTAAATGTGTCAAACGATCAGCTGTAGTGTGTTTGGAAACCAAATTGTAAACAAAAGAAAAGTGCACTCTGCTAATTCATGTTGAAAAGTAATTAATTACTTGTTTAAGTGGATTCTAATGAATTTGAAAGTATTTTTGGTTATTTACATGTGTGAGCTAAGTGTGTTTACATACAAAATAAACAAAAATTTACAACCAAAATTTGGAGGTTATGTTGAAGTTGACAGAAGTTACCATTTTTTACTAGAAAGCGATCCCGTACTTTTCACTGTTACTCTCTCGCTCTGAGCGAATTTTTATTTTTTGACAGTTTTACTAGTCCGAGTCCGAGGAATACGGGATTGCACCTTTTACTTTCACATTTCTCATTGCCATACGTATGTATTTGCTCTCTTCACGAAAGTTATCAACAGTTAAGTATGTATGTATGTATTATAAATTATTTTAATATTGAAACAAAATTATAGTCTAACACGATTAATCCACATGCTGGCCAAAACCAAACAGGCGCTGACCATGCTAAAACTGAGCAAAGAAGGTAGCCTGGCAGAGGCTTTGTCTGTGTCTGCACGTCCTAAGTCCAACTGGTCGGCCAAATCATCGGGTACATCCAAGTAGACGCGATCAAAACCAAATGAGAAAATTAGTTTACGTAATTTCTGTACATCAACAAAATCATTCGCCGAAGACCAAATAGTGATGGAACTTTCATTCGTCTCATTAACAGCAGCCACTAGGCCATGCAGTTGGTCCAAACTGTTGGCGGCGATGCCGGCGCGCACCGGGAATGTAATTGGATGCTGTTTAGTGGTGACGTTGTTGTTCTAGTTAGAAAATGAATCGAATAAAATAAAGATTAAAATTTGTAAAAAATGCTAGTTAGATTGTAAGAAATGGAGTGGTAATTGGTTGAAATTTGGGAAAATATTCTTTTGTCTTAAGTTTGATTTTAGAGTCTGAACATTTTGCAAAAATATGTATTCTGTAAATACCATAACGTGCATTAAAGCCTTAAATAACCGTTATATTTACAGTAACACAAAATTACGGTTTCGTTAACGGCTACGTTTATGATTATAAGGCCAAATTAGAGGTGCCATAACCATAACGCCTTAGCCATAACGTAGCAAAATACTTCAGAGCTGCTTATGGTTATGGCGAAAAACTAAAATAAAATAGCTAATACCTACGGTTATGGTTATGGCTCTGGCGTTATAGTTAATATGACACCAATAATCATTTACAGAGCTGCGTGTACGTTTTATGGCTATGATATGGCACTACTAATTTAGCCTATAGGTCTATTCAATGTCAAGAAATTTTTACGAATGGTTACAAGTACTTGCAATTTTTTACTGGAAATGCATTCAATAGCCCAAAAAATTTGCAAAAGAGAGCGAATTCGAGAGCGTAACAACCCGAGAGAGCTACAAATTCTTGCTAGCAGGAATTTGCAAGCGTCAAAAAGTAAGGTTATGTTTCAAATTCAAATGTAAACAAAATGTTTAAGAGCTTGATTTAATGAAACATAATTAGTAGCGTGGGCCGAAAATCCGCTTTTTTATAATTTTGATTGGTAATAGCAAAAATATGGTTCATTATGCTCTAAAAAATATCTGTGTGAAATGTGAAAGTTTTTGGTCAATATCCTAGGCTCGCCCAAGTCCATCAAAGTTCAAGTACTAAAAAAAATTTTTCTTAGCTAACTTCGATTCTCTACAAAAAAGGTCCATATACCTAATTACGTAGGACTAATACTTTAGAAGATTATTGCAATTTTAGTAAATAATTTATTACTTACTTTATTTATTAATTTTTATTTTTTGCCCATATTGAACTTTGATGGACTTGGGCGAGCCTAAGATATTGACCAAAAATTGTCATATTTCACACAGATTGTTTTTAGAGCATAATGAACCATATTTTTGCTATTACCAATCAAAATTCCTAAAAAAAAACGGATTTTCGGCCCACGCTAATAATTAGTTTAATGTTTTATTTTTTTAACAAAGAACTTTTTTCGCCGGTATAGGGTGATTTGAATTCCGATGAAAATAAAAACATGTACTATGCGAGACTGCCCTTCACTCAGAAACGGCTGCACGGTTTTAATAAAATATGGCACTCGGACCTCTTTTAACTCTGACTAATATTTGGAATATTTTTTAAGTTTTTGAAATTCAATTTTGGGCGTATTAACGCCATGCGGGTTCACTAGTTTAAATCTAATGTATGTATATTTTTTTTAATTTTTATGACGATGGAAACTATTCCTAATTAAAAAGAGAAATTGCGCGCCAAAACTTGACCATCAGAAATTGTCAAAATTACGTTCAAAGTTTTTAGTAGATTTTCGATTTTATCGAGCATTCAAAGTTCTTACTTGTATCGTGCCGAAATCACAGACTGTTTTTTTGAGAACGAAAACGGTCAATAAACGGATTTCGTAAAATTAAAACAAAAAGTAACGTAAGAAAAATACATATCGAGGGCTTAGATTCAACACGACCCATCTGCAGTTTATATAAAAACTACTTTCTGATGTTAGAACCGATCTGAGACTTAACTGTCATCACTGGTTGTTTGCAATTTTAATTTTGAAATTTAATAGTTAATTCTTCCGACAAACGATATACAACGTCATCATCGATTCAGGTAAGTCTAAGATGGATTTTTATATAGCAATTTAATTTTTGTAGAAACTGCGGATAGGTCATATTGAATATAAGCCCTCTATGTACATACTTTTTTGTGGAAAAATAAATTTTTTTTCTAAAAAGCCATTGTTACTGCAATAGAATCGCATAGATATGCGCGTACTTGCGTTTTCGAAGTAGTAAACTCTGTAGCATCAAAAACGATGCAGACTTGTTCCGACGAAATCGCACAAGTGTGTTTATGGCGACAAACATAGCAAGACTTTATCGACAAAACTTATCGATACTTTAGTCGATATATTATGGGTGAAGGCAGAGGCTATTAGATAAATATGCGTATTAGGGTTCATCACCGAAAAAGTTGTTAATTTTATTTGTAAAAAAGTTCGTTTTTAGTGGTATTTTCAAATACGTCCAGCTCAAGTAAATCTTAATATTTTTCTGAAATACTTTGACAGAAGTCTAAAGATGTAATTAATTGCATATTTCCATTGGAAAAATAGTACCATTTTTTTATATTAATTGTGATGCACCTTAATGTAAACATATGTGTACGTATGTTACTTACTTTGATGGCCACCAACATCTCATCGATCTCACGCTCTGTATAGTAGCCCTCTGTGTAATTGGCGCCCCAAAGTGTTGTCCAGCCGATCGAGAGTACGGCAGTTTCGAATTTTGCGGCGCCGGCGAAGAAACGCTCTGGATCAACTGGCACCGTATTAGATTGATTAACGGGTCCGCTAATGATATCAGCATTTAGCCAAACAGGATGGGACATCTATGCGAAAGATTTACGAAATAAAACATTTTTTTTTTTGGTCGAACAGTTTTACATACATATAAAAATTCAATTAATATAAAAATTTTATATGTATGTACGTTAGACCGTACCAGAAGAAAAAACTTCGCTGTTCACGGCTGAGCCTTAAAGTATTTTTGCAAGGCAATTTCGAAAAATTTTTTTTTCTGAACCTTTTTATATTTTTCGTCATATATTCGGCATTTATAGTCCGATCTTAAAGAATGATATATCGATGTTCTTTTTTCGTGGAGTTAATTTTTTTTTTTGTTCTAATGTTCATTCACCATTAGTCAGGGGTGTACGGCGAACTTTTTTGTTAGCTTGTAAAGTGGTACGGTCTAATGTAAATGGGTAAGAATAGTAAAAAATGTTTGAAAATAATTGAGTATGTATTTTATTCACATAAATAATTGCTTCCAAGAGCCCTACAACTCCAATAGTAACACCTTACTTCGTCTCCACATTTACCAATGGTATCAATTGACTTAAAATATCCAACGAGCCTTCGAATACTTCAATTGACTTAAAATCCAATTTCACGCCCTTCGCATCATCGACGTGCTCTTCATTATGCTCCAAAATGCGCAACAGGAATTCCAATAATGACAAGTCCGAGGAATTCGCTGGTGGATGAGCCATCACCGGCAATTCATCGCCAGTGTTGTTCAGTCTGCCAAGCACAATATCAGCCTCAATCATATTGATGTCGCCTGAAAATTTATTTCTTAATGAAAATAAGCATAGATGCATAAACCATTAATTAATAAATTAAAATTTTATACAAAATTTATTTACATGTATGCATAAAAGCATTTAACTTACTGAACCACAATTATAGGGGCCCCAAGCGTGTGCGCAACCAATGAAAATTCAGTTGCGTATACGACATGATGTCCCGGCAGCTATGTATGTATGTACCAGGGACGTTGCGAAAGTGAAATTTTAGACATCCGCGTATGCGAATGCGAATGCGAATGCGAATGCGAATGTCAAGTATTTTTAAGAAAAAGGTAAATTAAGTTATTTAGGTAAATAAAAAATGGAAAAGTTAGTAATTTTTAATAATGTTTATTTTATTTATTACTTGAATTGAAAAATTGGATCATTATATTTAATAAAAAGTAATGAGAATTGCATTGGGGCTGAAAATATCGGATGTATCCTCCTAACTTTCATCCCCACTTGAAGAATCTAGCATAATGGCGAGATCGTAGCTTAAACACCGCTTACAAGCCAAACCAGATGTGTCAGATTTTTCTAAAGCTTTTTAAAAAGAATTCTTCAAGCTCATGCGTTTGGCTATTTCAGAATTTGGGGAGCCTGTAACGTCATCAGCGTTTTTTGATTTTAGTTTTTGTAATTAATTTTTAATACTTTCTTCTGTGACTGGTTTTTGCTTACAGCGAGCTAAATATATCGGTGGATATATGGAAAATAAATTATTATTTTCCAGGAATGAAAACTTTGAACAAAATTCTTTTTCAAAGCCGTGGCTGCCAGCCGAATCGGATCAGAATATTGTTATTTTTTTATATGCATTTGAATTATTGGAATCACGGATGATGGGGGGTCTCAGATAGTTACGTAATTCTTACCTAATTAAAGATCAGACTTATAGCTTTTTAATTATTTAAGCATCGATTTCCTATTGAAGGAGCTTACTCTTTGACTTTAAACAGCAAAGAACGAAGACGTAGGGAGAGAGTTTTACCACAGAAGGTTTTAGCCAAGGATTCAATGTACATCCATATGAAAAAATATTGCCCGACAAGTAAACAAAATTACTTGTTTTGAAATGTTTGCTAAAAATAAATTCCCCAAAAGAGCCCCATTTGCAGTGGCGGATTTGAATATTTGTCACCCCTAGGAAATTCAGAATTTACCGCCCTTTTTGCGATAAGAAAAATATTTTGAGGTAAAAGTACCAGTTTTGGAACGATGAGCAGTAAATAGTAATATTCAAATTTATGTTATTTTCTATACTTTTATTACAATTTAAGATGAAAAAAGGGTATTTGCCTCAAGTAAAGGTTTTCAACTTTTAAACAAAAGCCATCATCAACCAACATTTTTCACTTGATAAGTTATAATCACAAAAATACTACAGTAGTATTTTTAAATATAATCATTTAAATAATATCAAAAAAAGCTTGTTGCGAATGCGAATGTTAAAATTAATGCGGAAGCTCCGCGGTTGCGAATGCGAATGCGAACATTCGCAACAACCCTGGTATGTATGTACATACATATGTATATAGCACTTACTCTCGAGCGCCTCGTAAAGTTCTTTCTGGCTGTTTACCGCATGCGCCCACGTGATAGCGGTTAGATTTACTCTGTCTTCTACAGACATAGTGATGATGGGCATATGATGACTTGCAGAAATCGGTTGCTCGCCGTAGTAATGGAAGATGTTAGTGTAATTGTCGCTCTGCGCCTGCGTCGCAGGAAAAGCATTCACATTAACATTGCAGTTGTTAGTTGCTGTAAAAACAAAGTGAGTAAATAAGCGAGATGATTTTTTTTTTTTTTTTTTTTTTTTTAAACAGGTAGTATGATTACGATGCCAAATGCTTTTATGCAATGATAACTACCAATGCATAAATGTTTAGACCATTTTAAAATCATAGAAAGCAATTAGAAATGAGTACGTGTATAATGCCTAAAATAAATTATTATTAACAATAAAGCAAGGCATGCACGAATTTATCATTAAAAAAATAAATAATTTGCGCTTACATTTTGCTAAGTGTTTTACCGAGCTTCTCCTCCAACTGATATTATAGCACAAATGGAGGACCTACAATTTTACGCCGCCTCCGAACGGCAAATGATTTTATGAGAAACGTTTTCAAGGCATCAATACACTGGGAGGTTTCCTATCGCCTGATGTGAGCCCAGGTCCTACGGAGTGGCGATATACACCTGTTGTGTTCACAATTCAATGGAGCCTTCAATTTTCACTCAATTGGATTAATTGTTTTTAAATGAAAGCTAATCAAATTTTCAAAAGACCTGTTGAGCCCAATTTTCGAATTTTTGGTTTTTTGTATTAATTTTTTTTAGTGCAAAGTGCAGAAAAAAAAGCAATTTTGAAAAAGCTCGATTCTCCTGTTACAGTTAATAAATGTTCCGCAATAAAAGCTAGTTGAAAACAATTGTAGGGTTCTCCCAAAACGAAAAAAAAAAATTTAAAAAAAAACTTGATATTTAATAAAAAAAAATTGAAATTTTATAATAAAAATTTCACCAAAATTATTATTTTTTGTTTTTGGTTTTTATAAAAAAAAATCTAGGTATGCAGTTTTATAGATCATTAAATTTTAGTATAATAAAGTGCAAGTTGCAAGTGGCTAAGAGTTCGCGTTGATTCTTAATAATATAACAAGCGCTCGAAATGTTAGCGAAAAAATTTCCAAGTAATGGGAATTATTGCGTAAGGTGTTATTGCATGCACCCCACCCATGGTGGGTGAATATATATTAATTAGAGTGAGAAGAAAGATTTTGACACTTCCTTATTTGAAAAATTGCTTATCAAATGTGATCATAAGGCAGCCGAATGTCAGAAAATAACGCGAGAAAGCTCTTTTATTACTTCACCTGTTTATTGCGCCATTCACCCCACCTGCTTGTACCGAATATACGTTCAAATTTAGAAGTCTGAGAGTAGGTAAAATTTTACATATTTTTAGATCACTATTTCGTACCACATGTTCGCTTCGCCTTCGTAAACGAAATCCACAGTTCGGGTATAGTGAAGTAAGTGATGATAATGCAGGAATTTTAACTGAAGATAAAACTCAAAATAATATTATCTGTGTCAAACGTAACAACATCGCAACGGAAATGGAAAAAGTCGTGACTAATATTTTTATTTTTAACCGACTTCCAAAAAAGGAGGAGGTTATCAGTTCGTCGGAATATTTTTTCTCAGAGGTGGTCCCATACTAATCTGGTTAAGATCCGATCAGTGGATCATGAGATATATATATATATATATACTTTTTATATGAGGGTTGAAGTCGGTTTTTTTTTGCTAAAAATTACTTGTTATTTTATAAAATGACGTGGGGAGTTTTAATTTAATGAAATCCATCATATAAATAAAAAAGGGATTTTTGAATTTTTTATTAGTTATGACTTTTTGCATTTCAGCGATGGTGTTTGTTACGTCTTTTTGCTTTTCAGGTGGCGATATGAATTATATCACCGCATGGTCGGCGAGCCAGCTGACATACGCTGAAATGGCATTTTAACGATTATTTACAAACAATTCAATTAACAGCTGTTCAATTTATACCTTTCCATATATATTGAATACATGTGTATATTAGACGGTACCAGAAAAAAAGTTCGCCGAACACCTTCGAATCTAAAGTATTTTTGCAATGCAATTTCGAAAAAAAAAATCTGTTCCCCGAACAGGGGTCGCCTTTTTACATTTTACGGTGACACCTAAAATTACTACTTTTTAGTAGTTCTACTAGAATAATCCGACTACAAATTCCGAAGCTATGATGAAAATTTTCGTGCCCATAAATCCAGAAAAAAACTGTTGATTTTATGGTTTTATTCTTTTGAGTTGGCTATAAAATGATGTTTCAGCTATCGAAATATGTCCAAGACGGGTGCCGACCTTTTGTACCTGTTTGTATGTTCAATGTGAAAGTGAGCGCCAAAAACCATAGGGGAAATCGACTTTAATTCTGTAAAATGAGTTTTTCTTCTGCAGTTGAATTCTATATACATAATGAGGTTGTTCATACTTGCCTGGTTATCAGGTTATCTGGTTAAAAATTATTATTGTGTAGTGTATTTTATTGTTGTAAACTGAATAAAAAATATACCGCATAACCTGCTAACCATGCAAGCGTGAACAACCTCAATGTATAATTTTAAAATTTTTAATATGCCCAACTGACTAGTATTTAATGAAATATTCAAGTGAAATTTTTACTAAAAAAAAACTTTAAAGAAAAAGATATAAGTCATTTACAACCTATTTCACCAAAAGAAAACGTATGTTTATTTCAAGATAATTATATTTTATACTGTAATAGGTACTAAATATTGAATTCGACCGTTTCCAAAATTTTGTTTAAGACGCGATTTCGTAACAGAAAATATCGAACATTTTTCTGAAGTTGATTTTCTAATAAATTTATTCCAACCAATTTCGTGTAAGATATATGTAAGGTATGATTATAATTCAAAAAGTTTTTTATTTTAGAAATTTAAATACAAACTTAAAGGACCTAATAAGTAGTACTAAATACTACGTGAATTTAATAAATATTTTACAAATTAAACACATTTCTTTTAATTTTAGCTGCCATATTGGATCGGTTATTTTGTTTTGGTTATTTTGACTTCAGATTCGAATTTAGCGACCTCAAAACACCTTGTAAACCTGAATTCATGCAAATATGCTAAATTTTGTTTTAATTCATAGGGATGTACGGCGAAATTGTTTGCTGGTACGGCCTAATGTGCAGGGTTATTCGAGTGGAAATATGAGTAATGAAGCGAAAAAGCTGTATGTATATGGAAATAAAAATATGAAAAAATTGTTGACGATGAGAAAACACTGAGCCTTCTGGTTTAAGAATTCATGCATACAACTACGTACATATACATATACTTGTATCTATGTAATTATATACCCTTCCCACACACACAAAAATTTTTCAAAAATAATTTACAAAATATTGCTTTCTTGGTATATGTAAATAAATCCGAAAATTACAATTTATTGTCGTGAATTTTTTTAATTTTATTTTTGAATTTTTTCATATTGGTATTTTTATGAATGACCACAAGTGTTTGCTTAATGAATGAGAAAAAGCGTGAATTTAAAATGTATTTTGTTTTGCATACTTTACCAAAAATAAACAGTGCAATTAAACACACAAATAGGCTGTTTCCTAGCCATTTTGTACGGCGTTCACTATGCTCAAGCATTTTACGGATTTTATTTAAAAAATTTTTGCTAAAGTTTTTCTAGGAGTGGTTAGTAAAAAGATCTTTCAGAAATGTCTTAAAAAAATGAGCATAAAAGTAAAAAATACAGAATTGTATAAATAAATGATTAATTAAATCATAAAATAATTAAAATGTTAGTAAAATTTTAAAGTTAAATATGTCCTACATATGTATGTATGTAGAATGATTATATTTTTGAAATGATTTTTGAAGGGAAATATTCTTATTCGATGGTGAGACTTCAAAATAAAAAATATGGGCCCCCTATTTTCGATGTTTTTCAGTTCAGTGGGGGGTGACAGAGGAAAATTCCAAAAAGTGGACTTTTCTGTGTATTTTTGGACGACTCTATTGCACATAACGACGACTCTAATGGAAACCATTTTTTTTCAGTTTTCAGAGTATTCTGAACTGTAAAGAAATTTTAAAAAATTCGTAAAAACTCATCCGATTTTTTGCCGAACTTTCTAAAATGAAATGAACTGTGCATACTTCGATTCTTTTATGAAATTTTGGAAGAAAATCGTTAAAGCAATGAAAATAATGCTGCAATGTGAAGAACTTCTTGCAGAATTTTTTTATTTATTTTTCGTACAGAAATTTCTTAACGAGTTCGTGTCAACCCCTTCGTACAATTTTCCTTGAAGATTCGTAAAAAAAATCATTACAGAAACTCCTAAAGTTTTCGTTAAGATTTCGGGAACTTTGGTTTGCAGGGTATGTTCATTTACATACAAACATACATTTCTATAGTATGTGTATGTTTTTGCGTGCATATGTAAGCGTTTGTAATTAATTCGCCGTTAGTAAAGCCTCACAGTGTAACTTTTGCTATGCAAAATTTTAAAATATGTATGTGCATACAGCCAAGCACTGGATGTTGTAATAACAAAATAGGGTGTGTCATTTAAAAAATGTTTTTTTACTAACGGGTTTTTTTTTAATCATTCAAGTTTTTTGTCCTTTAATACCCAGTGGAAATACGGCATAACCAACGATGGTGATGAAAAACGGCTCTCGTGAAATAGGATAAGGCTGAGCTCATTTCCCGAACGGTCAGTATAATTTAATTCCCGAAAAATTTTGGGCGATCGGTTATTATTCCTCGGCGACAATCGTTTTAAAAATTTTCTGCTCTTGTTACACTGTGCGCTGGAAGAATTTACATACATAAATATTTACATACATGCATATGTATGAACATTAGAGTGGTTCAAAATTGCATGTGAAAAAGTAAAGTCGGAATTTTAATGCCGCCACCCCTAGGATTGTTCTATACCGAAAAAACAACTTTTCGTAGAAATAGTGTAGAATTCTTGAAAATCTAAATTTTTTCAAACTCGGTTCCTATCCAGTAGCTCGTTTCTGTAACTATTCTCTACCGATTATTTCTCTACTGGTAGAGAATAAACGCCATTCTCTACTACTCATTAGCAGTAAAGAACAAGGCGGCGAATTCATATCTCAATTCGCCTTGGTAGAGAATTGTTACAGAAACGAGCTACAGGAGATTCCCAATAACAATACCCAATTGTTTATTTAACCATTTTTTTCATGGTAATTATATTTTATAGGTCCGTCAACACCCCCAGAAAAGGCAATGGGGGACCAATAAAAAATCTTTTATATTAAAAAATGGTTAAATAAACAATTGAGTATTAATACTGGAAGTCTCCTGAAGAGAACCACAGTTTTCCGATCGAAAAATATTGATTTTCAAGAATTTTATGCCATTTAAAAAATACATGGAAAACTTTGATCGCTTTGAGCACTCCCTATAGGAGTATACAGGGAGGGATTTATAAATATTTTTTGATTTCAAAATAAAAAAATAGGGGTATATTTTTTCGGTTAAAATTCCGACTTTACTTTTTTGGACCACTCTAATGTACATATGCACATATGTATGTATATGAATGTGTACTTTAATTAAAAAATTAATAAACAGAAATATTGTATGCTCAGCAAAAGCGCATTTCTAAAATCAAAGTGCGAAAACTATGTATGTATATACATACATATCGTCGTTTAAAGTACAAAACCGCGTATCGTCATTCTGCAAAACCGCGTAACTGACATTTGCTGCCAAAGATTGGATTTGCTCACACAAGATCTTGGCCCAAGCCTTATCCATTCGTCCAGAAGCATACTGGCCAGAAATGCGATTTCTTTATTAAAAAGAGAACCATTTTGAAATATGAGTGCTTGTACTATCTAGAAAATAATTTATGCAATCTCACCGCGGTTTTGCATTTTGTTGATACGCGGTTTTGTACTTTAAACGACGATATGTATTTGTCCAATTGGTTTCGTTTTGTGCTATATTTATTTGTAATCGTTTGTAGATACATACATATAGAGCTTTAGTCAGCTAATGACTGTTATCGGGTTTGGTAGTTATAGATTTATATCTACATAGTACATACATATGTACATACATAAGGCCGTACCACCTTACAAGTAAGAAAAAAAGTTCGTCATACACCCGTAAGTTTAAAGTATTTTTATAAGCCAATTTCGAGAAAACAAAATTTGCCTAACCTAGGTCGCCTTTCTAAATTTTTCGATAACACTTATGTATGTACATATGTATTTGCATTCGGCAATACACAATTTTAAATAACTCTACTGGAATAATAAAAAACACCTGTTTAGCAAAAGTTTAATGATATTTGCAGAGCTTAAATTTACCGGTATTAGGATGGTACGTTAGGGCGATAAGAACTGGAATAAAATATGTTACCCTCGAGATAAAAACATCGATGTATCATAGTTTGAGCTCCGACTATAAATGTTGAATACCTATATAACAAAAAATTGTAAGGTTCGAAAAAAAAATCGAAATGGCCTTTGAATCGAAATACACAATTCCTTAGAAAAAGTGTCATGATCTTCGGCGAGCTTTAATTTACTGGCATAAGGGTGGTACGTTAGGATAATAAGAGCTGAGATCTGGTGGCTAAGTACTAGAACGGGGTACTTGAACTTTGAACCAAAAAAAAATGTGTCCCCTTGAGACAAGCACACCGATTTACCTATCATACGTTCCCACGACAGTCGGGTCTACGTAACCGGAACGACCCAGATTTATATCTGGCCAAGGACTGTCACTCCAACAACACTCCCCAAAATCTCTTTGGGGAATTTGTATGCTGTTACAACAACAACAACCTATCATACTTTAAGATCCGACTGTAAATGTCGAATATATGTACATACATATCAAAAACAAAATTAAAAGCAACTCCTATACTCTAAAGTCAAGACTCAGGGCGAAGAGCGAACTTTTTTTTCAGGTACGGTCGAATGTACATATGTATGTATGTAGATATCGTGCCGATACTCAAATAAAACATACATACATACATACGTACATACATGTATTTTTAGATACACACACCCTTATTATAGTAGTGAGGGGCTAGCAACAATTTAGCCTTATTTCATTTTATCAAATAGTACGGAAAGATTTAATGTAGTTGTAGGAAGTTTTTCTTTTAAATAAACATAACACTTTAAAGTTTATTTAATTTAAACAATAACTAAACCGGCGATAGCAAATTAAATTAGCATGCACTAAAAGGCTTTAAGTTTACACAAAGACGAATACATACATACATACGTTTTTACGCTTAGCAACTACAACAAATTAAAAAATATATGTATGTATATTATACACTCTGCATATCGTCTATTAGTCTGCCACTTTTCAGATCACCATGCGATTTTAACCTTTGTGCGAGTTTCATTTTCCAATAAACACAAATAACTAATATGTACATACATACATACATACGTACGTATGACTCTTTATTACACAATCGATGATTGCATTATTACAATCTCTTCATTAGTTAAGTCACCTAATGTTTTTAATAAATATTTTTCAACTAACACTATTTTCTATTGTTCAGCACAGCTGACTTCCCGTTTTGTTGCGAAGCTACCCTTAGCCTGGAATGTTTACCTACAAATGAATCTTTGAAATGTTTGCAAAGTTTTTCTAGTCCGTTGGCCATGCACATTGGTATCCACATGCCTATGCATAGCATGAATAGATGTGTTGCTTTTCATAGCCGGTGGCATTCAACTTGCGCATTCTCAGCACTCGCTCTGCTTTTCAAATTTGTGAGCTCTCTTTGGGGATGCGCGCTCTTGTACAGTATTTTAATTTTAAGTTTTTGCGATAATGAAAAAAATATCATAAATTATACTTCAAGGTAATCTGATCTGAAATTAAGATTGAATAGAATTTGGATTGTAAAAAGATTACCGAATGGCTTAGTTGGGACTATAAATAAAATAAGCAAACAGATTTTTTAAGTTAAACGGTTTTATTGTAAAGAAACATAATAATGATGCAGATAATGTGCTAAAAGCTAAGAAATATTAAGGTAGGTACCAGCTACCAGTTATTCCATCGATCACGTGATCGTACTAATAAAATCGTGGGTGCGTTTAACTTGAAACACATTTTTAAATACTTTATTTTAAAGTTTTAAATTTTTAATTTAGTTGCTTAATATTTCTCATTATATTTCTTCCATTTGAGGGGAAAAATATAGCGACATAAAATTTGTATCCACCTTAATGTCACTATGTCCTCGGCTCGCTGTAACCGTTTACCTTAATTTGGATGGTGTGCCGCTAATGACCTATTATTCTTCAGTTCAAATCTACTTATCAAGCCCTTTCATTTGATACCCATATTGGGGGCGACATAAAAAAAGGCTTGAGTATTAGGCATTTATGAAATTTTATGTGTAAACATCTGTGTATGGCCTGGCAAAGCATTAGGCGATTGCATACATAAATGGGTTAGGTTAGAAATTAAACATCTATATCTTTTCATTTTATTCATTTTGTCAGGACCAGCACACGACTTTTTGCTAAACACTTCGGGAGTAGGTCAAGACTTTTTCAGAATCATTTCGTGATACCTTAGTTTCGAACTACTCCAAAACGATCTCAAACAAATCCCAAAATTGTCATGAAGCAGAACTAAAGTGTTTCTCTAGCAGTCGTAAACTTCTCCCGAAATGGTCCTGAAATAATCCGGAACAGATTCCCAAACGGTTCCGAAAGGATCCCGAACTAGTCCCGAACAGGCCCCGAACAGGCCCCGAAACCGTCGAAAAAGTCGTGCGCTTCTCCCGAAATTGTCTTGAAACGGTCGCGAAATGGTCCCTAATTATTTAATCATGAAATGTTCCTTCACTACTACCAAAATGATCCAGAAGTAGTACCAAAATGTCTCCTGAACTAGGTTCGAAATGGGGCAGAACCAATCCGAAAATGGCCCTCACACAGTCGTGAACTGGCCCCGATATGATCCCGAACTAATTGTGAAATTATCCCGAAATTAAACCGTACTAGTCCCGATATAGTCCTGAAATTATCCTGAACTAGGCCAATAATTATCATTTGTACAAACAGGAAGCAATTACAAATTTTCTGCTGTGTTAACACAAATTTTACCCAAACCGAGAGCTAATATGCTTGTCCGCCATTTTGTGATGACGGCCATCTTGGATTCGGAATTTGTTCATGTATTCTATATTCTGTGTAACCCAGCAGAAAACATTCTTGCTTATTGTGTGTACAAATGAACACTTCTGTAGCTCGTTTCTGTAACTTTTCTCTACCGATTATTTCTCTACTAGTAGAGAATATACGTCATTCTCTACTACTCATTAGCAGTAGAGAACAGGGCGGCGAATTCATATCTCAATTCGCCTTGGTAGAGAATTGTTACAGAAACGAGCACGAAACGAGAACGGTTGACTATTACAAATACGAGAAAGTAGAGGACTTCGTAATTTTGGAACCACTCGCCAACAAATGTAACTTATTCTTCTTGAAATTTGGTAAGCAGCTTTTTATTAAAACATTTAGCGAATGCAAAGATTTAAAAAAATGTTTTTTTTTTATTTTTTTTTAACAAATCCGATTTTTCAAAAATCTTACAAGGTATTTATACAAACATTTAAATACATATAACATATCCATTTGAATTTCTTCCTTTAGTAGATAATAAGTACTTGTATTAATTGTTTCGCCCCAAAAAAATAAAGTTTACCGTTATAATTTGCTCTTCTATCTATTCCTATTTTTTTGCACATGCTCCTTTCTTTAATTTACGTATGTATATACATATATTAAATTCAAACATAATTTTTTTTACTAAATTTATTGAAATAATTACAAATTTTGATCCTTGCCTCTCAGTTTTTCAAATTTTTGTTCACACGCTGGCAATTTTTTGAACACAGCTGTTTAATCTCTTCTCACCCACTTTTATCCAAATTCTTTACCTTTCTCTCAACATTCTGCATTGTTTTTCACCGTTTCCGCCATTCTCTACGAATTCGCAACAAAAAAAAAATTGTTTGTTTACATTTAATTCGCCGAATTTACGCGCCAATTCGCCGTAATTTTTGTTTTTACGCACTAGTACGGCGAATTCAGTAGACATTTCATTTGACAAGTGAGCCAGACGGAAAAAACTGTGTAATTGAGTGCTACTGTGAAAAAATTGTGGAAAAAAGTTAACAAATACTTAGTGAAGTAATTTTTTTATATCAAATAATTGTTAAATACCCGCTACTACAAATTCCACAACTTTTATTCCATAAAAAATGATATAAATTGTTCAGCCGACTATTTTCATATTCACTTCACTACTTAACCTCAAAGTGGTTGTGTGAGACTCCCTGAGACACCCAATCGCGTTTACGATGCACCGCTAGTTGGAAAATAGCGAAACCACAATCGGAAAAGCTAATGTTTGCTTAATTAGAACAGATTTGTACTATTTTATCTGTGTATTATAAAAAAAAACTAAATATGTCGACTGGAGCGCTGGTGCAGCAATTCGTTTCTGGCCTCAAGTCGCGTAATCGCAATGTGCAAAGCAAAGCTGCACAGGATTTGTTTCTATATGTAAAGACGGAGCTGCGTGAAATGTCACAGGAGGACCTAGTCGCATTCTTCGATGATTTCAATCATCAAATATTCAGTATGGTAAATTCTGCGGACATCAATGACAAGAAAGGCGCAGTTTTGGCCATAAGTGCGTAGTTATAAATCGTTAGGGTTAATTCTTTTGTTAATGCTTGTTTACTCTTGTAGAATGTTTAATAAGTGGCGATGTTGTGAATACAATGAAACGTATTTCACCGTACTACAATCACTTACGTACATTGCTGCCTTCCAATGATACCACAGTAATGGAGATTGCAGCACGTACGCTGGTGAAATTGGCTAACTTGCCCGGGTCAAAGGGTGCCGAATCAATCGATTTTGATATCAAGCGCGCATTCGAAATGTTGAGTGGTGATCGGCAAGAGGTAAATAAATATATTAGGAAATACTAGATAATTGTTCTAAATTTGTGTGTATTGCAAATTGTTTGAAATCACTATAACTTAACGTTTTTCTTCACAGTACCGCCGCCACGCAGCTGTCTTTATTCTGCGCGAGCTAGCTATTGCCATGCCAACATACTTTTATCAACAAATATCAACATTTTTCGATAACATTTTTAATGCAATATTCGACCCCAAAGCAGCCATACGCGAATCGGCTGGTGAAGCGTTACGTGCCGCTCTTATTGTTACCTCTCAACGTGAAAGCACGAAACAATCAAGCGAACCACAATGGTATAAAACTTGTTATCAAGAAGCAAACGCAAGCTTTGTAGCGGAACCAGTTGGTACAAAAGATCAGAAGGGAATGACACGCGATGATCGTATTCATGGCGGTCTTCTAATCCTAAATGAACTTTTCCGTTGTTCACATGCCGCTTGGGAACGTCGTTATGCTGCTTTGAAAGCACTTCTACCCGACGCACAACATAACAAATTTGGTGAAGTCATGCACTCCAGCTCCGTTGGTAGTCAACTAACCACCTTAGTGCCTCGCTTGAAAGCACCATTTATAAGTAAGCTAGGTTCGACGCATATGCATTTGGAACATGAAGGACAACATGGTGGTGCACATAAGTTTTCATCGGTAATTATTTATCAAAATTTCGATATGAATATTAATAACCATAATAACTATGCTTTTTCCCTTGTAGGCCACCGTGCTGGAGTCTGCATATTCCCGTGAGATACTCACAGAAAACTACACAAATATTTGCGATAATGTGCTGGAACAGCGCACCTCAAAATCGCCTTACGTTCAGCAAGCACTGCTCCAAATACTTCCACGCCTTGCTGCCTTCAATCGTGAAGTATTCGTGCAACGTTATTTGCAAGAATGTGTGAATCATTTGCTCAGCATTGTGCCGCGAAAGGAGAAGGATCGAAATATTGCATACGTAACAATCGGTTATATAGCAGTAGCTGTCGAACGTGATATTGACAAGCATTTAAGGACAATTATGTGCGCTATCAAAATAGCATTACCGCCAAAAATCACACCCAGCAAACGTAAATCGTCCATAGACCCAGCTATTTTTCATTGCGTTACGCTACTTGCACACGCTGTAAAATCGGCTATCACCGAAGATGTACGTAATATTCTAGAACAGATGTTCTTTAGTGGTCTTTCGCCAGCACTGACCGTTTGTTTGCGGGAACTTGCTGAAAATGTGCCACATCTGAAGACTGCCATTGCCGAGGGTCTCATACGCGTGCTATCGCAGGTTCTAATGAATAAACCATTAACCATGCCCTATCAAACATTGGCCACCATACCTATGGATACATCGTTAAATCTGCAACATGATGTACCCACCGTTGTGCTGGCGCTAAAAACACTTGGTAGTTTCAATTTCGAAGAGCAAAATATGCTCGATTTCGTGCAACGCTGTGCCGATCATTTCATTAATCATGAGCAGCAAGAGATACGCTTGGAAGCGGTGCAAACGTGCACACGTTTACTAAAACTCGCCGTGCAGTCGGCTGACAGTTCAGAAAGCTCAAATACACTTAGCGAAACAGTGTCACATGTCATTGAGCGACTGCTGATTGTCGCCATTACAGATATGGATTGTAATGTGCGCATACGCATATTA